GTTGCGTGAGGGTTTGGTCTTGATATTTTGTATGGTTGCTCACCTCACCGAGCTTCGTGTTGTAGTTGTGGCTGCCTCTTACCAAGCACTGGGCAACGTAACCCAAGCAGGCAACTCCAGGTCTCTTTTCGCTTCCTCGCGATGCAGCTGAAGTGTCTGTGCAAGGGGGCAATACGCGCAATTGCTGATGTCTGGAAACAAGAGAAGGGTAGTGCTTTCTACCTTAGTCCAAAGAGCTCGTGGCTTCGGTTTGACCTTTGACTTGAGCCAAAGCTTCGCCGGAGTACGATAGACCATGGGATAGCCCAAGGCTTATCACCATGTCTTTTGTGTACTGTTATACGCGTCTCATAGCACGTCAACATGGATGCCCAAGGCAGTCCATGTGATGATTGCCAATATTGCACTAGGCATCGAGGTCTCTTCACACCCCCCATGAGTGAAGCTTTCAGCTTTGCTCACGAAAAGAAGAGAGTAGTGGGACCTAGAAAGAAAGAAATCTCAACGGTGATTGTTCGTCTGTTGCGTGTCGAACGGCCCAATTAATCGCTGCGTGAAAACACAACTACGTTGGGTGCGATCCCCGGCTTCAATGAAAAGTGAAGGGAAACACTCAAAGAAAGATGCGCGAAATGTGGCGCAATGAATTGTGCTCACGTGGCGAGGAGGTAATCGATGCAGGCGACGATGTGCAAATAGTCGATCAATAGTGCCAACGGTCGTTGTCATCACGGTAGTCCCGGTTGTAACGGTAACCAGATGAAGACTCTGCCGAACGGTTGTCGTAGGCACGTTGATTGCGTTGCCATCGATCGCGTCGAGCTTGTTGTGGAGGAGGAGGAGGAGTTGCACCGCTCGTCTCTTCGCGTTGGCGTCGCTGGCGACGGCGTGGAGCTTCTTCCAACTCCGCGGCTTCTTCAGTCGTAACAGGTGCAGCCATGATCCTGTTGTTCAATTCCGGAATGTTAGCTGGCAAATGTGTCAATGCAGCTGGGTTCCTGGAAGTGTGAGCTTGTTGACGACTGGCGATCATGCCGTGCGGATGGTTGCCGGTAGTTGGATGCCGCTGTCGATCAAAAGGGAAAGCAGTTGTATTGGTATATGTTTGGAACCCATCATCTGCGCAATACCACAAGGGTCAATGCAAAGTACATGGTCCGAGGTTTCGCTGGTACTTGGTCGCATCATTGTGAAAGTGCTGTACCCTGTAACTTTGCCAATGATCTTCTGCAGCAACGAATAGCAGCTCGAATGCATCTGCGGTGCGTCGACAGTTTGCCCTTCGCGCATGTGGTTAGTAGGGTTGAATTGGCCCCTTTCAAAACCCAATTGTGCGGCTCCTCTCATGATCTTGGAGATAAGTTGGTTGGTCTGGAACTTGCGAAGAAGATACTCTCCAGTCTAATATTGGTGTTGACTCTCACCCCAGGCAAGAACCTCATCGTCAAGCACATTTCGCGAAATCAATGTGTCAGGGTCGACTTCAGAAAGAGCTGGACCCCATTTTCCGAGAGCGTCATAACGATACCCTTGTTCGAACATCTGCTTCATAGTCTGTAACGGAATTTCCAACCACTTCATATTTGCTCTCCAATTCTTGTGGATGTAGCTGCAAATGGCATATGCCATGTAGCGTGCCAAGAGCAGATTCGGGTCCACCGTGCATGCTCGTTTCACCTGGATGTAGATGGGGACCTGCATGTTGGCCCGGGCGTGCTCCAAATCCTGGTCGATGTAATATCCGGCGTCACCGATCAGCACCGGAATTCGCGAACTGACAACTTCTGGAGCCTCTTCTTCGTCCTCGTTGTCTGTTTCTGGTGCCGGTTCAGGATCTTCTGGTGCGGGCTCTGGAGCATCATGGACATGATCTGTTGCTTCATCTCCCATGTCCGGCTCGGGTTCAGCAACGGTCTGCCGATCATCTTCTTCCAGTGGATCATCGTTCGCAGCCATCTCAGCCTGTTCAATGACGCGGTTGATCACGTCGCTGGGGACCTCCAAAGGAGCGTCCTCCTGGCGCATGGTACGGTGGAACTTTCCAATGGAGAACAGGTCGGTGAAGCATGTAGCGCATCGCGACAAACACGATGGCGTCTGTTGCAAACAACATGGGCAAAGTCGATAGCGAAGTTCATGATCCCGACGATTCCTCGCATGTTCCATTGGTTTTGTGTGTTTGATGATGAAGTTGATGGCGTCCATGTAGAGCTTGTCATAGCGTTGCCAATCAGCGTTGCGCCAATCTACGCCAGAGTAGTCTCCAAGTCTAGCCACATATTCTTCTTTGGTCGCGTCGTGTGGACCATTCGGCATCTCGCACAGCAATTCCATAAGTCTCTCAATTGTTCTGTAAGGAGCAAACTCCTTTGCAATCGGTGACGTGCCGTATTTGGCGCAGATCTCATCCTCCAACTCATAGTCCAAGACGTTCTCCACAAGATCAAATCTGTATCTGTGCCGATCGTTCGGCACGCAAAGCCAGACTTCTTTCACGAATCGGAAAGGGATGGGATTGCTGCAGACGATGATACCGCTTTCTGTGATCCTTCCTCCTGCCCTGACATTGTCGATGATCGGTACATAAAGTACGGCAAGGGGGAAAGACCTGTTGACACTTGATCTCACCCTTGTCACCTCACTCCTTACATCCCATGGCGCAAATACTCCCCAATGACTGTGAAGTCTTCCCGAAGCCTGGCGGTTCTCCATGAGATCCCTGCCAGCCTTGATGCCTTCTTCCATGATGTCCTAGAGGTTGTAGCACTCGGTTGCGTGGAACGCACCTTGGACGGCATTTGGACATTGCGAACTTTGATGGATCAATCTCCATGCCCGTAAGCTCTGGTGTTCTGGTCTGCCCGCTCGTTGCTCGGATTGCCCAAGGCATAACCCAGCCGTCGCAAAGTAGGATGTCATCGTCAGTGAGGTTCCGGGTAGCTGGAGATAGCCGAAGTTCGTGTCGTTGCACGGACAGTGTGACCATTCGACTGTCGAAGGCCTGTATGTCATCGGCGATAGACGCGTGTTGAGGCGGATCTCCCAATTGGATCCCCAAGAACTGTAGGCGTACTCGTCTCTTTTGAACGGAAATGAAGTTGTTGCCGTCGAAGAGCATCTGCAATCGTCTGCACAGTTCTTGCTTTCTCTCATCCCTTGAGCGATAGCTGTTCAATGGCCTGCAAATCATCCTTCGTCTGGGATGGCACCATAGGACATCTTGCTGGAGGATGAAGTCCAGCCTGACCCGTGCACCATCATCGCATCGAATGATTGGTACGTCGGACTGTCCAATCTTGAAGCTGGAATGCCTTCCGATGTAGTGCCTCAAATCCTTCTGGATATTCCTCACAGCTTGTTCTGCAAACCACTTGCGATCACTATCGAGATCAACAACTAGAGGACAAGGACCGACTGGTCTCCAATCGGGCTGACAGAAATGGCAACCTCGATCTGGGACCTGATCCAATATTCCGCAAAACACGTCGTCAGAGATGCAAACGTAGGACTGATTGGTATACCCTTCCCAGTGGTCGTTCTCGTTCACGTAGTGGTACAGCCTTCGATCTCCTCGTTGAGGCATCTTCCTGTCCCGGTGTGAGGTGCATTCCTCAATCTAGTCGCACACTTCGCGTTTGTTTCGCAATCCCATTGCAAAGATGGATTCATACACGAGTCATCCGTACAGGCTCGGGAAAGCATGGAAGAGGTTCTGAAGGACACCTACATCAAGTACTTTGACAAATCCTTGGCACGGTGCCTAAACCTCCAATTGTGATGATCAATCATGGCGCTGCCTCCCACAAAGGTTCTCGACCAACGACAGAACTTTGCGGGGTATGACGCCGTGGGCGCTTACCTTATACGCTTCAACTACGACTTCGTGGGTGTTTTGTAGTTCACGGTTCCTCCTTTTGGTGCAAATTATTGAGTTCGTTGAAAGAGAGTCAATCTGGATCTCACATGTTCAGCACCGAGAAGGTCACGGAACATGAACCGCAGAAGCATCATCACAGAGGGTTCGCAGTTTACAAGAAACAGCTGTTCTGTGAAAAGATGATTTCAGCTTGTTTCCTGAACTCGCAATAAGTGGTTGCCTGGGAGAAGATGCTTCACCGGAAAACCATTGACGTCAGGCGCTTCAAAGAGATTTGCATGGACTTCACGCAGCTGCATTTCTCCTCTACGGTGAACCTCAATGCATGGGTCTCACGCGATAGGCGTCGTACTATCGAAGAGGAGAATAGGCGCGATGACTTGGTCAGGCGTCCTGAAGTGGAGTGGCAGAACTTCGATATCGCCCTGAGTGTCCCTGAGCCGACGTATACTGAGGAGCAGTGTTGGTTCAAGATCTACGACTACAGTACGTCGGATCCGGATGCATGGGCTACCCCGGAAACTTTCTTCTGCGAGCATTGTGAACAGGAGAAGGACGCCAGCATCTTTTGCCGGGACAACCGGTCATTCAAATCGGATCGACCTCAGTTTCCGGATCGGTGCGTTGGTTGTACTTACAAACATGCCCTCCGCAACTCGTACTTCCAGATCAACGAGTACAAGGACCTTCGAAACAGCGAGTCGTACTCCCTAGCCTGCGCAAGGTACCTCTACATCCAGTTCTTTCAAGACACAAAGCCAGGCGACAATTTGCTTGAGTATATCAAGAAGTGTTGTCCTATTGCCTATTGCCTACATGTCCGTGGGAAAAGTGGTGTCATCATACGGCAGCTTCCGATGCCCCATCGCGACCAGCATCGCGTATTCGTCGTGGGGAAAGGCAAAGCAACTGGCATGGGACAGAGCCTACGATGCACAGAACAACCTTTGCTTCATCGCGTACTACGCCGCTGGGAACGCTGCTTATGCAGGCTTCATGAAGACGTTGTTGACTCCACAAGAAAAGGAAGCCTCCGTCCAGAGACGAAGCTGTGGAAAGAGACGTCGAAGAGATCATTGCAGCTCTAACGATGAAGAACGTTTCCTTGCAGTACCATCATCCGCAATCGACCAGCAGCTCCCTGGGAGTGTTGGTATGGATGTCGAGAATGAAGTTGAGGAAACAAACTATGACTCTTCGTATGGTGTAGACACGTCCACGCTACCACAAGAAGATGTACACATGGGTCATGAAGAACCAGAAGGAGACGCAACCGTTGGTGAGAATGATGCTTTGAGGATAGCGAGAGCAAAGGCCTGGGATGCAACAAGGCTTCTCGTCCATGGATCATTCGACGTGAATGCCGACAATCCCCAGAACTTATGTGTGCTTTGCGGAAGTTCGGAGCACGGGTTAGGTGCATGCGACAGCAACTCCGAGCTGAAGCGGGTCCTCTGCGAAGCTTTCGAGGCTATGACCAACGCCATTTCCTCATTTCCTGAAGTGTTATCCCTTCCACGGGAAATCACTGATAGGCGACCTGATCGTGAAGGTCAAGCATCAGCTGCATCGATGGATGTTGACATTGAAAGCATCGCTTCTTCTTCCACAAGACGTCCGAAAGCGAAGGCTATGCCGAGGCGTGGCGCCCATGGGGCACACGCAGGCATTCGCATCGTCGAGTACGATTCACCTCAGGTTCTTGGATATGCCATCAACCGACGAAGAGGAGAACATGATGCATGTGGTGAGGGCACTGCCAAATTCTCATGGACAATGGCTTGTATGGCACTTCTTCATCAGGAGCTTCGTCTGCTGATATCTCATCATCCGGAGGCCCTTCAAGTTCATCTTCAGGTGGACCCTCTGCATCCTCTCCTGGTGTCGCTGTGGCGGTGGCAACATCTGCCATTGCGCTAGATAGCGTCCCATCCTCACCAATGTTATCGAATATGGCCTTGATGTTGGTCGCAACCTCATCTTCGCGTGGTCCTGACTGTTGACTTCCTGCACGAACGTAGGGGATGTCGCCATGGACGCAGAGAGATTCGTTTGCCCTCCGGATTGATCATGAATGGATCTTTGCCGGGTGGCCACACGAAACCATATCCTTGTTGCATACATCTCTTTCCCACCGAAAGAACTGATGGCGCATCATCGAGAGCATAGGCGTTGATCGTTTCTGCGAATGATTTTGTCCTGAAATTGGACATCAAGTCCGTGGCCGTGATGCCATTCGCGGTCTGGAATGATACTCCACTCTCCGGGCTGACAAGCGTCTCTAGGCCATGCTTCTCGACTTTGCGCTGAGATATGAGGTCATGTCCGCAACCAGTATCCATAAGGAACTTGATCTTGGATCGCACCCATGTAGGTTGAACCATACACGTGACTTCCTCAAAGACTTTCAATCCTTTGCTTTTCTTGGAAGTGACCTTCATCTCCACAATCTCATCTTCGCCGTCGAAGAATATGATCTGCTTGACCTTGTCTGTCCCGGGAACTCGGACATACATATGTCGATCGCCTGGCTTGTCATCCGACACCATATCGATCATCAGCTCGCCTTCAAGCGAGCCTTGTGCATTGCGAATCCAAGTTCGCTTGCTCGATTCTCGCTCTCGACGAGTTTCTTCGCGTTGACCTTGACTATCTCTTCACCACGTTCTTTGTATGATTTTCTTGGTTGTGATGACTGGAAAGTCACATCTGCAGCGAAAGTAACCCGTTTGTCCACTTTCGGTTTGGCCGACCAAGTCGATCCATCCCGTTCATCATCTGTGGAACAATCCGAATCGATATCGCCGTCGATGGATGAGCACTCAGATTCCTCATCATCCTGAGCATATGCTTTCTTGCGTACTGCTGGATCAAGAGGATTCCATGCTCTGCACATTCTGATTGCTGGAGCTGCGTTCTGTGGTTTGCCCTTCGCTTTCGCCTTCCCTTTAGCTTCAGCCTTGGCTTCAGGCTTTGTTTTCGCCTTGGCCTTGGCTTTGGCTTCGGGCTTGTCCTCACCTTCCGCCGGTGTAGCAGGATTGACGTGCGCATATGGGCAATTGTCACGACTGCAACTTCCGTTCTTCTTGAAGTTGTAACACACCTTTTGCTTGTTGTCGGATGAAGGGCTGTTCCCAGGCGTTCTTCTTCGAGTGTTACTTCGTCCTCGCTCAGGTGTTTTCTTCGAATGACTGAATGGGCATCTGTCCCCGTTCTTGCATTCACTATGTTCGGAGAAGAAGAACCTGCATCTGATCTGTTTCATGTTTGAATCAACGGATCTTTCCCTCGGCTTGCCTTTGTCCGGCTTACCTTTCGCCTTGGCCTTGGAATGTGCCTTGGCTTTGGTTTGAGGAACAACTGGGGCAGCGTTCTCATTGTCTGTCTTGTTGCCCTTCTTGTCGGATGGAGTACCATTTCCTTTTCCACCTCCTTTGACCTTCGCCGGAAGAGCGGACATTGCGTCCTTGCCGGCCACCATCAAATTGAGACCAGAACTGATTTGCTGTTGATTCCTGTTCTCTCGATTCCTCCGAACACATCTTTCCATGATGTGGAAAAGCTTCTGACAGGAACGTTCCGGATCATCGTAGTTCAGCATGTCGTAACGCACGCAAAGCTCCTGCTTCAATGCCGGTGAGTCCTTGATCTTTGAGTAGAGTGTGTCTCTCAATGCGGTATCAGACGGAACGTCTTAGGTCGCATTCGATCAATGATCTCCAACCATGTCTGCTTGAACACGTTCATCTTCTGGTCACCTTGATATTGCAACTTGATGAGAAAGTCAAGTGACACAATCATGTCCAGTCGATCACGAGTTCTGAAGCTTTCGTGCATCATGGCGATGATCTGCCTTCCTTTGAGTAACTTTGATTGATCACGCATGAGCTTGTTCGCTGAGCGGTAGACATTCAGGTACAAATCTTGCGCACCGTCACCACCATTCTTGATCATGGCAGTCATAGCCACACCCAGCTTAACGTCAATGCTCTTGAACTTGATATTCCCGGAATCGTTGAGTGCATCAATGTCAGGATTCGGACGGAAGGCCGGCCAAGCTATCCAGTCCTCGTGATTTGGATCAGCGCAGGCACCGAGGACATTTGCCGTGCAGTTGGCCATCCAGCTGTAAAGGTGTGTCACCTTCGGGAAGGGTGGGACCACAACCTTGTCCGCTTCTCTCTTAGATATTTTGACAGAAGTGACTTCATGATCACCTTCTCCGTCCGGATCATCAGGAGGATCGGGATCTGGATAGCCTCCGCGACGCTTCCGTCCCTTTGGTGTTGGATCATCATCGCCATCACCTCCGCCAGGAGCACGTGGTCCAAGGTTTGTAGGAGACTCGGATGGGGATACTTCTTCTTCGGTGCAAAAGTTCTGTCCGTCATCTCACCTTGTTCTCGGTCGTATTCCTGTTGGAATTGTTCGGCAGCTTGCTTCCAAATATTCCGATCTTCGCGCAACCTCTCCTCAGTCTGTCGGCTTCATGTAGTTCGAGTCGAAGCTTGACCATTTCCGCTTCGATCTTTCCTAGGTGATTGTCGACGCCTGACGATGCTGATGGAGCAGTATTCGCCATTCGGGCAATTTGTTCGCATCTTGCCTGATCGAGTCGTGCCCAAGGCAACGCCGTATGCAAGCTTGTCTTGCCTACTGGTATCATCTGCTCTCAAGACGTCCTGCTCAATCAACTCAGCAATGAGATTCTGCTTCTTCGCATCATCGGTTTCTTCAATGAAGATGTTCTTGTTGGTTGCCCCAGAGGACGCACCAAACTGATGTGGAACACTCGTTGATGAGGAAGATGATGCTCCTTTGCATGCCCCGCATTCTGAGGAGTTCGCGAAGCTGATTGTCCCGTGCCTCTTTTCCGCAGAGAGTTGTATACGATGCTGGCACCGTGCTTGCCGGAAACATTGGACTCGGTTGTTCAGCGTTCACATCTTGCACGATTGGGGATATTGCGGAGCAAGTATCAATGATGGTTTTTCCTCTGTTAACAGGACTGCGCAATGTGGGGGAGCCAATGTCAGGGGATCGCACCTCGCTAGCTACCGGAACTGCAGACCCTTTCTGACTTCCTACCTGGCTACTCACAGATTCCCATCCCGTCTCAGAAGTTTTCGATGACCACGGTGCGTTCGACGATCTCTGAGAGTTCTGCTGACTCCGCATGCGTTCGGCGTCGATCTCCAACTTCCAAGCTTGTTGACTCCGTGCTTGAAGCTCCTCTTGTTGCTTGAGTCGAAGACGTAACTCACCCAATTCGCTATGTAGGGCAGTAATCGGACGCTCTCGTTCAGATACCTGACGTTAGACTTCAGCTTGATGCATTCCCGCATTGGCTTCAAGTTTGGCGGCTTCCTCCCTGCTGAGTCGTTCTTGTAGGGCATAAATCCCGGATTCTGCTGCAAGGACGGAGCTCTTTGCCTCTTCTTTTGCCATGTGTTCTTCTCCTCTGATCATCTCGATCGCCTCGCGCATCGCCGCTACTTCGGATTCCCTGCTGGATGCTTCCATCCTGTACTTAATGCCTCGTGAGCTTTCTCGTTCAGAGTATGCGTCAACTTCTGGTACTGCATGGCCATATTGTGTTCACCGTTCTGAGCCATCTGTCCCACATCAGCAAAACTCTGTGAAGCCTCGTTACGTAGTTGTCCCAACTCTTGATGTAGCATTTCTGCTGTATGTTCGTCACGTTGACGTTGGGCTGAACTCGCTTCCTCGATGCCTCTCACCACGTGGACGTACTCCTCGGTAGTCTCTTGGTGACGTCGATTAACATGTCCGACTGCGTTCGATAGGATGTTCCTTTGTCGTTCGAGTTCTTCAATCCTCATGGTTGAGCCTTGATCTTCTACTTGGTGGAACTCCAACCATTGTGCCATTTGCCTAACCTGCTGATTCATCATGGCCATACCTTCTTCATGCCTTTGAACTTCGCGTTCATGAGATTTCCTCATCTCTTCTTCGGCATAAAGAATTTGATGTACACGACTTTCTTCTGCAGGTGGTAGCATCTGGCGCGTCGGACCAGCATTATCCAGCGCTTGGAGAATGCTAGAATCTCCGCCTTGTCGACGGGATTGGATTGCTTTGTCCAACAGTGCGTCAGCATTGTCAGTACTCCCGGAGGGGGCTGAACCCAGGTTCCTTGCCAAAGGCACAGGATCCAGGTCGGCATCCCGTCTTCTCACCCAAGACTCAGGCGGTTTCCTAACTGCTTTCCGCAACGAACTTCGGGAAGAGGATTTCGATCTCGACTTTTCCGGACTCCTGACCTCACGATCTTTCGGTTTTGTGGGCAGCTGTAGACACTGCATCACAGTCTTTGATGGTCGTCTGTCGATGGGTTTGGGCTTTGATCCGGTTGATGTGGATCTTGGTGTCGATAACATTCTTGGCAGCGATCTTGCCCTTGTTCTCTGGTTGACGTGTTGTGACGATCCCGATGGCTTTGTCCCGCTCTTATCATCCGTGGTCGCTGAGTCCACAGAGATTGTTGTTGTGTCGTCGACAGTTGAATCTCCGACTGCAGGCATTGCCACGTCGCCACCAAAGGTCATTGTCGTATCTGCACTTGACCCAGATGTCATTGCTGGCGTATTGACACGATGACAAAATCCTTGTGTAGGCGGAGCCTACGGCTGATAACCTGCGTGAGGGTTTGGTCTTGGTTGCTCACCTCACCGAGCTTCGTGTTGTAGTTGTGGCTGCCCCTTACCAAGCACTGGACAACGTAACCCAAGCAGGCAACTCCAGGTCTCTTTTCGCTTCCTGGCGATGCAGCTGAGGTGTCTGTGCAAGGGGGCAATACACGCAATTGCTGATGTCTGGAAACAAGAGAAGGATAGTGTTTTTTACCTTAGTCCTCTGCCTCGTGCTCTTTGGGCTCGTGGCTTCGGTTTGACCTTTGA